CATCTTACCAACCAGAACCCCACTGTAGACAAGCCATGATCTGCTTCTCTGTTCTCCATTTTTCATTTGGATGAAATAATAGCTGCATGAATCATGACAGCAGACAAGATAGAGGAGAGCAGGAGGCGGGGTTACCAATCTACTTGCTCTGGAGAGCAGAGTTCTCTGCTTTTAGATGTTGTGGCCAAAGTCTCCAGTTGCAGAAAAAAGTCACTAGATTTTGCACTAGAAGCTTTTTTGAAATAAAAGTGCTAAAATGTGCAGAAAATGGATGGATCCAATATGGTGGACACTGAAGGGGTGGGGGGCTGAGTGGGTGCAAAAATGAGAAATAGTTTTATAAACCATACATGTAAACAGAGTTTTATAGGGCCCGCAGGAACTGCCTAGTTTTGCCTAATGGTAAATCTGCCCCTGTGTCGCGGTAAAAGCAGCAAAAGGCTAGACCTGTTTGAATTCACAGCCAAAACTTTTCCGGTCTTCTTATTTTCACGTACTTCCAGGGATCCAGTCCAGATAGACTGTATCCTTGGAAGACGCAGCCCATAAATTGGAATGCAGCCTAAGTCTGCCCTCATCTGAAGGACTCACCAGAAGAGAAGAGTTGAGAACGTTGGCCTGGCTAAGGACTGTCAGGCTGCCAACTCTGGTCCTGATCCGACTGTTGTTCCTCAGTTGGCTCAGAGGAAGCGCCTGACCCTCATACAGGTGAAACTCTATGTCCCGCATGGACAGGGTCTGTTGGGATGCAATGTTATTACGTTGCAGCTGTGAAACTGTTCCCAAATGTAGACTTAACATCAGGACGTACCATGTTCAACGGTAGGCCGCTGTTATCTGGTACAAACAGGGTGGACTGAGCCCTCGGGTCAGTGAGTGTCGACACAATCCGATGTCTTGACTCTGCTTGGTGGGTCAGGATATGCTGGAAAGACAACGATGGGCTTTAGTGTCAGAAGAACACTGTGGTGAAGAGCTGCGGTGTGAGTTAAGATGCGGGACTCACTAAGAGGAAGTTGGAGAAGGATGGAGTAGACATGAGGACCTGCAGCAGGCTTCCTCTGCAGCTGAAGCCATCTCCAATGTAACCAGCTTTACACTCACACTGCACACCTGAAACCAAGAAAAGAATCAACATCAGCTGACGGGAGTTACCACTCCGTTCAGCCAGTAAACTTCAATGGTTCTCATGTTCTGGACAATTTCTAGCTTCACCATTCAGATTTTCTTCTCACCCTTCATCCTGTAGCAGAAGGCATCCCAGGTCTCACTCAGGTTTTTCCGGGTGCCATAGTCCACGATGCCCACGTGTCCGAAACCACACTTGGAATTGGGGTAGGTGGTGGGATAGGCGACTCGGCCTTGGTCCAACCAGCCGGCAGAGCACATATTCAGTCCCCCCTTCACATGTGAACCCAAATGGCAGTTAGTTCAGAAAGATCAAGTCCAGATGAGACCAGGATTTAACTGCGTTGAGTTCACTGACCTGTTGAGCGTAGGAGAGCTGAGTGTATGTAGCCAGGGTGCCTCCCTCTGCCCTGCAGCTCTGTTGGGCTGCTGTGTAGTTCAGTTTGTACTGACCGCTGGCCGAGCGGTAGTGAAACACACCAAGCGTTGAATCTAGATTGAAAACACATATCTGCATGTCTGAACATCTAGAACTCAATTCATTTTATTTCTATAGCGCCAATTCACAACACAATTCATCTCAAGGCACTTTACAGTTCACCAGATCATCCAGTCAGACTGATTAGAAGTTTTCTATCTAAGGAAAACCAGTTGAGTGCATCGACTCACTGACTCGAAGGCGTTCCCTCATACTAAGCATGCTTGTAGCGACAGTGGAGAGGAAAAACTCCCTTTTAACAGGAAGAAACCTCCAGCAGAACCAGGCTCAGTGTGAGCGGCCATGTGATGAGGCTGACTGGGGTTCAAGGAGACAGAAGCAGAGATGCAAAAGGCAACTGTCCAGGAAACACACAGCCAGGCAGATGAGCTCCGAGCCAAATCCCTGAGGATGAAGAGAGCACATCCAGCCAGTCACAGTCCGAGAAACAGGACTACACTGAAAAAAGGCACATCTATAAACAAAGGTGTTGATGGCAGCAGCGCAGGTGATATTTCTCTCCAGGATGGAGTCACAGCCAGATTCTGCATAGTGGGAGGATAGAGATAGAATGAAGCAGAATGATGAATTGGAGGTCCCTGTGTCCTCCAGCAGTCTAAGCCTATAGCAGCATAACTATAGAGATAGCTCAGGATAACCTGAGCTATCTCTAACTATTAGCTTTATCAAAAAGGAAAGTTTTAAGCCTAGCCTTAAAAGTAGACAGGGTGTCTGCCTCACGGACTAAAACTGGTAGTTGGTTCCACAGGAGAGGAGCCTGATAACTAAAAGATCTGCCTCCCATTCTACTTTTAGTAATTCAGCCCCAAACTGATCTATTTCTCCTGAGGCTAGCTCAGAATCTGGGCCGTCTCCTGCAGTACCTTCAAAGTGGAGGTCGGTACATTTAGCATCTGGGTGGCACTGTCCGTTGTCCTGGAGACAGCGGCTGATTGGGAGCTGTTTGAGCTCACAGGTAACTCCATCTCCAATGTAGTTGTCCTTACAGGTGCACTTCTTCTTCCCCTGTTGACACATTTCACTGATTAGTCCAGCCTGAGATGGCAAGGTAACGTGAGAGGTGTTTTGTTCCTCACCGGAGCTGTCATTGTGCAGATAGCGTGTTCATGGCAGCCGCCGTTGTCCCCGCTGGCACAGGGGTCCACAGGTAGACAGGTGAAGCCGTCTCCAGAGTATCCTTGAAGACATGTGCAGCTCACCTTTTCCCCTTTTTGCGAACATTTCGCCTCCTTCGCACAGCCGCCGTTCCAGATCTTACAGATGTCCACCACTGTGAACATGGAGACAAGTACAATAATGTGGCTGGCCAGTGAAACTGGGCCAACACAGCTGGAATAGGAACCTTGTACTGTGAAAACTAGGCGATATTTACATTTGCAGGTGAGTCCGTCTCCCACATGGAACGGTCGGCAGACACAGGTGTTGTTTTCCTGACAGACGGCCTTTGGAGAGCAGGGTGGAGAGCACTGGAACACCTCTGCAGACCAGAGGGGCAATGTGAAGATCTGAGAAGACCAGCCTGTCTGAGCTGAACTCCTCCAACTAACATCTGGAGCACTGATCTATCTGATCCATCCACAGATGGTTCATCCCAGAGGCTTCTGAGCACAGGGATGAACCCTAGTCTCTGTGCTTCAGTCAGCTGATGACGGATTGTTCTAGATGGAGAACCTTCAGACGGATCAGGGATCGCTCTGTCCAGCTAAGACTGCATCGTAAAATTCCCTAAGATTCCTTGGATGTTTCAGAATCTTCTGATCTAAAGATGGATCAAACGCATGGGCGGATCTAGACAGGGGCCAACGGGGGCCAGTGCCCCTGTAGATCATGTCCTGGCCTCTGTTATGACCCCTCTATCAAAGACGTAATACTAAAAGAAATTATAATGATATGAGCTGGAACAGACATGTTTCTTTTTTTCTTTTTTACAAATTCTTCTTTACTAATTATTCAAAAACAATAAGGTTATAGCTTCAGTGGTGATGAGATAGGATCCCAGTTTTCATCTGCTAAATGTTTTTTTCAAAACAAATAAAATAAAATACTCTAATTTTTACTGCTGAATTGATCAGTTTTTTCTTGAGTTCTAATTCAGATTTTATAGAAAACAGTGATTTTAACTTAAACAGGTCAAAAATATGTAAAATTCATTAATTATGAGTGTATACAGACCTAATAAGCCATTTATTTTAATGAAACCTAATTAAATAGAAATTCTAATTCATGCAGCTCTCTTAATATATTTGAATCCCTTATCCTGTGTTTTATTTCATGCTTTTCTGTGCCCCCATGAAAACACGCCGGGCCCCTCCTGGGCCCCTGGTACATTGGGTTTAGAACCGCCTCTGATCTCTATGTCCTTAAAGTAATTATCCATCTTTGTTCCTCAAAGACACTCAAGGGGTTTGCTTTACCACCTCCTGATCGCCATCATTATTATTCATTAACCCTAAGCTGTTCAGTTTCTTAACATTTCGTGGAAAGGAAAACAAGGCCCTGCTATCCCTAAAAGGACCTAAAGGCAGCTTTAAATGGGTTCTAGTGTGTAAAAACCAAACTTACCTGTCTGAACATCGCATCGTTCTCCCGTCCACCCTTCCTCACAGAAACACAGACCTGTCCCATGGATTCCATCGTCACATGACCCGTGGACCGAGCAGTTACAGGCTGAAACAAAATCAAAAGATGAAACCTGGAGACGAACCCCTCAGAGGTTGGCGGACGGCCTCCCTGTCGCTCACCTTTGCAGTTGGGCCCATAAAACCCATCTGAGCACAACTCACAGGCCGTCCCCTTAAAACCAGCCTCGCAGGTACAGGTACCGTTCCCAAGGTGGCCGTCATCGCATTTCCCTCGTTTACTGCAGAGGGAGTGGACTCCTCCTGGACATTCTAGAGAGAGGAATTCCACATTCATTGTGTTGCCGTCAGAACTTACGTCATTTTAAGATTTTAGGGGAAAATAAAGCCAGTTTTCACCAAACATCATGAAGACATTGAATTCTCACCAAGGCAGTCTCGTCCATAGAAACCAGGACAACACTTTGGATGCCAGAAGTTGACGGTACAGATGGGCCGACAGCCAGAGTTTCTACTGATCATTAGGTTTGGAAGGTCACACTTCTGGATCTCCTGAACACAAAAGAAACTAAACTGATGAGAGATGTGTCCATTTCCAAATAACACGTTCAAAGCAGGCGCCAATTCTGACCTTTTCTATGGTTCCTTTAGGACATCTGGCACCAGACCTAGAGCATGTAACACAGCCCATCTGGAACAGAGGGAAAGCAAAATATCATCCATAGCAACGCAAAGATTCCATATTTCTCCAGAAAGATCTGAACCAAACTATGAGATGTGGTCCATTCCAGGCTTTCACTGGGTCATTAGGCCAATTTCAGTTTAAACCGGAACCATAACCCAACCTTAAAACTTCAGATTCAGGATGACGAAGAACCCAGGGGCGGATTTAGGAAATTTGGGGCCCTGGGCAAAAAAAAACAGGCAGGGGGCCCTCTGAACTAAGAAGACAACACCTAAAACAGACCCATTATACAGATACAGAAATTTTAATGGAATAGATATCCATTATTTGTTCTACCTTTTGTCCCTCTCTTCTTGTCATTTTTGTTGTTTCCCTCTGTATGTTTTTTTTCTTTCTCAGCTGAGTTTTAATGCTGTTGCAAAACTAATCAAAGACTTTTTCCAAGCACCACCAATCTACTTGCTCTGGAGAGCAGAGTTCGCTGCTTTTATATGTTGTCGCCAAAGTCTCCACTAGCAGAAAAAAGTTGCTAGTTTTGGTGCTAGGCACTTTTTTGGAATCAAAGTACTAGAGGGTTTTGAAAAGTCACTAAATATGACAAAAACGCCAAGTTGGCAACACTGCTCTTTGCATCGTTTGTTTTCAAATGGTTTGCTGCTGTCTGTTTGGACCTTTCTGAACATGTGCAGCAAATGGACTGATCCAATATGGTGGACACTGGAGGGGGGGCTGAGACACACTTAATATTATCAGCGTTCTGATGGCAGTTTAGCGAAAGGATTTTTATCAAAAACATAATTAATGTGCACAAATAAGGTATAGTTGTGTTAACCATACATGTAAAAGGGAGTTTTATGGGCCCCCCAGGAACTTGGGGCCCTAGGCAGTCGCCTAGTTTTGCCTAATTGTAAATCTGCCAATGGAAGAAATCAAAAGTTCAAAATGATTTAACAGAAACTCCTATTTTTAATTTCTGACAGGACACACTGGGGGTTCTAAGCCTATAAGTTAGGGAAATCCTTTCTAGATGGACCATTAAAGTCCAAGACAACAGAACCACCTCAGAACATCTCACACACAGGTCACATTTCTCTGCAACACATTTGTTATCTTTGTGGGATGATCTCAGCTCATCTTCAGTGTTCGGGTTCAGGGAAGATGATCACCATAAGTGTTGTCGTTGTTCTGTCAGATCAGCATACCCATAGTCAATACGCATGTGCAAGACGTAAGATTTACATTTATCCCTTTAGTTTTGTACAAAAAATATACTTTAAACTACCTTGATGGGCGTGTATCCCTTTAGTCACGTACAAAAAAAACTATTTAAGGACAGATTACTATACGCTTCAAAAAGCACCAAAAAGTCAGTAATTAAATTGTTTTTTTGCTTTTTTTCCCATGACTAAAGGGATACACACCCCCTGAGGTAGTTTTACGTTTTCTTTTTCATACAAAACTAACAGGATAAACAGGTATTGACCATGGGTATGCTTGTCTGACCGGGTATGCCCATCTGACAGAACACTGGTGCAAGATGTGAAGGAGGATGGTCCTGTGTCGGGACCTTTCAATGTACTGAAGTCCTCCTGTATGTTTTAGAAGAAGAAAAGCCCCGACCGTAATATCTTCCCCATCATCCTTCCCCGTGGGGCTGGTGGTGTTCGTCATGTGGCTGCATGGGGACCCAAACCAGTCAGTGGTTACAGGGTGGATTCACCATTAGGCAATACTAGGCAGTAGCCTAGGGCCCCAAGTTTCTGGGGGCCTCATAAAACTCTGTTTACATGTATGGTTAATACAACTATTCCTTATTTCTGCACATTAATTATGTTAAAAAATGATTTTGCTAAATGCAATCAGAAAGCTTATAAGTGTGTCTCTGGGGCCCCCCCTTCGGTGTCCAGAGCAGTGTTGCCAACTTAGCGCTTTTGTTGCTATATTTAGCGACTTTTCAGACCCCTCTAACCCTTTTATTTCTAAAAAGCGCCTAAAAGCGACTTTTTTTCTGCTACTGGAGACTTTGGTAACAACATCTAAAAGCAGCGAACTCTGCTCTCCAGAGCGAGTAGATTGGTAACCCCGCCTCCTGCTCTCCTCTATCTTGTCTGCTGTCATGATTCATGCAGCTATTATTTCATCCATATGAAAAATGGAGAACAGAGAAGCAGATCATGGCTTGTCTACAGTGAAAAGAAGGACTGGGTTATTTACTTTGGCCTTTTTGGAAACACAGGAAGGAGCAATCAGCTAAGTGAGCTTAGTGCTTGGAAAAAATCTTTCATTCCTTTAGAGCAGTGGTTCCCAAAGATTTACTTCTGGGCCCCCCTTTGGATTACAATAAAATGTCCTTGTTTGCTTGTTGCTGCAGATCTTCTCAAATCTGGGTTGCAGTGTCACAACTGTCCATTATGCTCAGTCAAGCAAGCGCTGTTTTGTTTTTTTTTCTTCATTCATCCATACCACTTTCCGCGCCCCCCCTGCAATGGCATTGCGCCCCCCCTAGGGGGCGCGCCCCACACTTTGGGAACCACTGCTTTAGAGACAGCATGAAAAGTCCGCTGAGGACAAAACATAGAGAGGAAAACAAGAAGAAAAGAGGGACAAAACCTAAAGGTAATAATGTATGTCTGTTTGATTAAAATTTCTTAATCTCTATAATGGGTCTGTTTTATGTGTTGTCTTCTCAATTCAGAGGGCCCCCTGCCTGTCTTTGCCTAGGGCCCCAAATTTCCTAAATCCGCTCCTGGGTGGTTAACAGGCTTCAGCTACACTTGATGAATGGCTGAGGAGGTAACCCTGGAGGACAGTGCCCCTTAGGACTGACACTGATCTAACATGATCTAGTTTGTTCATATCCACACAGGTAAAGAGAAAATGAAGCTGAATAGTAAAAAAAGATCTCACACAATTATGGCGAAAATGTAAAGAAATAGACAAACAGCCAAGTGAAGATGAGACAATATTTATGTTGACATGAAAAGTTCTTTCTAAAGTTGACCAGGAGGATTTCAGATGGTTACTGGAGCAAATAAAGGGCTTACCTTTAGGTCCAGCACAGTCTGTTCATCACAGCGTCCCCCCAGGCTGGGTGGGATCAGCAGGCAGTCTATTCCATAGGCGATCCCAGATTTGAAGACAAGATGCCTCTCGGTGATCCGACAGGAACCGCCATTAATGTAGATTTCTCCCTAATCAACAGCAATCACTGATTCAGAGTCCAGCTCATCTCTTCTGTTTCCATTTTCTGTTGTACTCACAATTCTCTCAGAACCACCGCAGGAGAAAGAGAGAGATGAACCCTGCAGAGTTCGACCAGAGTCCAGGTAGATCAACCCTTCTGCATAAATCTGAGTTTGAAGAGAAGAATCAAAAGGAACCATCATTTTTTCCTACAGAGTTTGGACATGTTCATTGGTGGCCATTATCCATTCTTCCATTTTTAGTGGAACTTTTTATCCTTTCCAAGCATGCCTTCCAAATCTAAAACACATCCAAGAATGACAGCAACAAACATGCTCCCATGGTCTTCTCACCTTCTGGCTTATAATGATGTGGTACTTCAGATACTCAAGCAGCTGCGGACGATTATGCTGGTGGAACAGGAAGTCCTTCTGCTGTTGTGGCAGAGATGCCATGACATCATCAGAAGGGAGGAAAAGCGTGACCGGCTGGTATATCACATCATTTATGAGGTCCATCACACCTGTATCCTAAAAACACAACACAGAAAGGAAGTTAGGACATCTGGCTTTCTGACAGAATTCAGGCAATGACCATCGAAGAACCTGGGACAGAGACAATGACGCATTTTACAGTTCAAAGCTGAGTAATAACAACGGTCCTATTTTTTGAAGTTGGGATGCTGATTTCTTTTTATTACAATGCCTAAGGCAGAAAAAATAAATAAATTTCAGCTCAGAAAAAAGGCACTGGGGTTATTTTACCCTGAAAATTCTATAGATTTTTATGTTATTTTAGGTCTATAAAAGTTATGTTTTGTTATATACACTGATTCTGAAAAAAAAGGAAAAATATTTGCTTCATAAAAGTTTTGCGGCCATCAAAATGCTTCAGTGTTATTCTATGGGTCAAATAGTTGAGTAAAAGCATTTCACATAATTTAGAGACATTTTGAGAATCTCCAAGCATGTCTTTATTACTGCTGTTCAAAAAAGACCTATTATTTTGTAAGATAAAAAAACAACTTTGAGTCATGAGCTTGAATTGATGCAGCTCAGGCTGCGTTTTACACACCCAATTTTCATATATATATTTAGAAAGTAGAAGGTGTTAGCTGTCAAATGATGTATCACACATGTAATTTGGTCTTACAGTTACGCGAAGGAATACTTCAAATGAGGTGTTAAAAGGTCAAAAACTGGCATGTTGCGGTGTTGCTAGGGTTAAGCACGCAAACCATGTGCAGAGGCATTAGTCCTCGATGTGGCCATCACACTTTGAGTCCCAGCTTTGTAGCATGTCTTCCTCCTCCTCTCTGTCTAATCACATTTCCTGTCTTGCCTCTTTTAAAAATACTAAATTTAGAAAAATATTGTTTTAAAAAAAAGACAAACACTGTTCTAAGAGGCCATGATGGATTGATGGCCTGGTCAGAGTTTCATCTGCATGTTTGCCCCACCCCCAACCAACATGAGCCTCAGTGGTAGGTCTGTCTGGTATTATACACATGCAGGTGTGAGGTAGGGATTTACCTGTAGCAGTTTGTAGAAGCTGTTATAACCATGCTGCTTAGCCACCTCTGAGAGATTTCTCTTTGTTGGATCCTGCAGGAAAAAAAACACATGTAGAGAGGTAAAGGACTGACCAAGCACTGAACTGATTGATCTAGAGAGCATCAAATCCTCAGAAACGACTTGCACTGACAGGCATGAGCATGAATTTGTTCATATCAACGTTCGGAGGAAACAGCGTGGTGTCGATATCATGGATGATGCCATTAACACTGATGTCATCGCTGCCCGTCACGTTGGCCTGGTTGACTGTGATTTTTCCCTGTTAATATCATGAACAAAAAGATGAGTTTAAGTTTATCTTTACTTACCGATGTTGTGCCGCACCGCCATGAGATGAGTTTAATTCACATCACATTTCATTGCAAGGCACTTTACAGTTCACCAGATCATTAAGTCAGATTGGTTAAAAGTTTTCTATCTACGGTAAACCAGTTGATTGCATCGACTCATTGACTTGAAGGCAATCCCTCACACTAAGCATGCTTGTAGCGACAGTGGAGAGGAAAAACTCCCTTTTAACAGGAAGAAACCTCCAGCAGAACCAGGCTCAGTGAGAGTGGCCATCTGCTGAGGCCGACTGGGGTTCAAGGAGACAGAAGCAGAGATAGAAAAGGCAGCTGTAAAAGACGGCCCCTCCAGGAAATACGCAGCCAGGAAGACGAGCTCACTGCATCTAGTCTGAAGATAACTAATTCAGCCTCTGGCACAGGATAAACCTGTTCGGCAGGTAAACCAATACCATGCAGGTAGGAACAGTTCTCTAACATCTTACCTGGTTGGATCCGATGGTGAGGATGAGACCAGACAGAGAGGTCAGGTTTCTCGGTTTTTTCAGGTCTTCGGGGAGCAGAGTTTGACACATGACGATGTGGTTTCGCAAGAGGTTGGCTAAGTTTTCTCTGTATTTGTCCAGAATTGTCAACTGAAATGAAACCGGTGAAGATAAAAACAAGCAGACGGTGTTATTGATCTTACCGGTCCGAGAGCGTGGATCTGTTCAATGGAAACTGAAAACTGTTCTCCCTCCAGGTCACTCACCGTGAGGTTGGATTTCTTGTTCCGAGTAGTTACAGCAAATACGGTGAATGGACCTCGACCTCTTAGGTTAACGTCCACTGACTGAAAGCACAGTTCACCTCAATTAAAGAGACTGAGCCTGCGGGGGGCGACAGAGAGTGATATCTGGATGCTTACAAGGTGGGTGAAGTAAAAGTCAGTGGACCCCCTATACCTCAGTTCCTGTCAAAAGTCGGAGATGATTGGTTAAGAAAAGCGGCGACACATCTTAATAAATAGTTCTATTGAAGAAGCTCACCTTCTCCACGATGGTTTTGCACTTGAAGCCATCTCCGATAAAGTTTTTTGAGCATGTGCAGGATCGATTGCCGGGGCCCGTCATGTTGCAGATGGCAAACATATGACAGCCACCATTTTTCTGAAAAAACATTGCTAAGGCACTCCTCATTGGGTCTTTGTGGCAATGCTGTACTGACAGTGTCAGTGTTACTGTTCACAAACCTTCCTGTGATTGTGTAAAGACTCACCTTTTTACACAAGTTGACCATGCTGCAGCTCTGCCCATCGCCTGAGTAGCCTTCCCTGCAGGCGCAGGAGGTCTGCCGATTGAGGGAACATTCATTCTCAAACCAGTTCCTGTGTTATTCTCTAGAACACTGATAAAGGAAGCTCTTACTTACTTTGTTTGGTCCAACGTGGATACAGTCTGCGTTCTCATGGCAACCCCCGTTTCCCTCCAAACATGGATTTATCTCTGTAGAGATAACAAATATCCAGCACTTTTAAAAAGATGTCTCCTTCTTATCCAAACCTCTTTCACCTTCTTGTAGAAATCCGAAACGTTGTGAATACTAAGTCTTCTGTTAGACCTCAAGCTAATACTATTTAAAGTTCTCTGCTTCTCTCAATTTTATCGCCCTGAATAGAACCTAGATGGTTTCTGTATTTTGATAGGCAGAGCATTGTTAGCTATAATAATCTATATAAAATATGAAGAAGTATCAAAGACCCCAAAATTGACCAAATTACCTTTAAAGACCCATTCTATAAAACTGGAACCCAAAGTACCGCCTGCTACACCAGAACCCCTGTAGACATCTTTAGATTTAATGATTAGTGGATCTCTCAAATAGTCTTTGTTAGATAAGTTGTCCAATGAATGTAGCCTAAAACTCTACTAAGAACTGTCAAATGGTCAAACAATTGAAACATTGATTTTCTAAAATCAGCTAAGGGGTAACAGGAATCTTCATATACTTATAGTTCATCAAACCTTTGAGCTTTCTGTGTAAAGAAGCTTTGAATCAATTTGAGGCAACAAATAACTCTTTGAAAATGTTCCAGTTTTGCTACAAACAAAGATCAGGAACCCCAAACACCTTTAAAAACTTTTTTCCTTTCTTGAAGAGGAGCTTTCGTCTTTTTTGGTCCAGAGAACCAGCTTGATATCAGATCATTTCCTGGAGGTTATCACGACAACCTACCCACACAAACAAACCCATCTCCAGTGTAGCCACTCTGACAGACGCAGTCTCTGCGGCCGGGTCGGGTCTTTTTACAAACCGCATACGGACTGCAGCCGCCGTTATTCACCAGACACGCGTCTACAGCTGCAGACATCAACATCAGACACATTATTCCCCAGGAGATGAGAGGAACACCTGCTAAAGCTCAACACATTCTGTCTGATTTTGGTTCTTACCTTTACAGAATGTTCCGTTTCCTTCAAATCCAGCAGCACAGAGACACTGAGATCCAGATGAGTGAACCACACAGCTGAAGGTCAGAGTCAGAGGTTGCATAGAAGATGAGGTTAGAAGCTGAGAATGGAGTGTTGGAGTATTTCAGTGTTGAGTGACTTACTTTGCACTGCTGTGACATTTCACCAAACCACACAGTTCATCAGCTTTGGATTCAATCTCTGCAATCATAAGAACACAACAGCACTGCTAGGTCTGTGAGCAGCAAAAAGGGGGGCCCTCCACCTGTCAAAGACTGGTGGGGACATTAATATTACTGAATCCACTTAAAAAGAACCAAATTATTAAACAGACTTCCATACAGCACATAAACCCAGACTAAATGGTATGTACTTATATAGCACCTTTTTTCAAGTCAGGAGACTTGACCAAAGGGCTTTACACCAAATTCAGTCATTCACCCACACACTCACGGTGGCAAACTACATTATAGCCAAAACTGCACTCTGACCACCATCAGTAGACAATGCAGGTGAAGTGTCTTGCCCAAGGACACAACGACAATGAAAGTCAGAGCTTGAACCGTCAACCCTTCGATTTCAGGGCAAACTCCAACATCCAGCACCACTGTCGCCCCTACAGACTAAGGTCCACATTCAGTGATCAAGGTGTAGAACTTGAACAACCAAAGGTTTACACCTGGCTGAAAAGACGCTGAATCATCATTAAATTACTAAAACTATGCAAACATCTGATAAAGCTTGATAAGAAACATAGAGATGAGCAGTAGAACACCATCCTGTTAAGGTGGACTACAAGCAGCCGTCGTACTTTCATCACAGTGAACACCCCTCCAGCCGACGTCACACTCACAGGTCCCGTCCCCGATCAGCCCCTCGTTACAGCGTCCGTTCTTACACCGACAATCTGCAGATCAAAGCGACGTTAGAAGTTGCAAAATTCTCAGAGTTCCACTAAAAGTTTGAATAGTTTAAGGAGCCTCATGGACCCTGGTCACAGTGAACGCCATATCTCCCGCTCTGGCAGGTTTCACAGGCTGTCCCGTTGAAATCTTGGTTGCAGCGGCAGATTCCAGTGCCATTGACCCCATCTAGACACAGGCCATTACCAAAGCAGGCCTGCCCTTTTGGACCGGGGCAAGGCTCACAGTGCAGCCCGAAGTAGCCGTCACAGCACCTGGGCTCCTAAAGATGGGTAGAGGAACATATATTCAGACACCCTTTTTATGCTGCAGACCGTTTGGTGATGGAATCTGAGAGACGTACGATATTCTTCCGGAGGCAGGATGCCTCACACCCTATGGCGAACTTGGATTCTCCATCAACATCTTGTGTATAGATGCATGTCCTCATCCTCACTGATTTCTGCACAGAATTGAAAACCATAAGAAAACCTCCTAAAAGTAACACTAATGACTATGCAAAACATCTGGACCAACTCAGAGGGTCCTCGGGTGTTACATCCCAACATCTAGGCCCCAGATCATTCCGCAGGTCACATAAAACAATGGATGCCCAACTGGGTCTTTTCAAGAATCAGTTGTCAGACCAAATGGGTCTAGACCCATTCAACCAGGCAGGGGGGGATTTACCATTAGGCAAAACTAGGTGGTTGCCTAGAGCCCCAAGTTCCTAGGGGCCCAATCAAACTCCTTTTACGTGTATGGTTAATATGGAGAGCACATTAATTATGTTTTTGATCTTTTCGCTAAAATGCCATCGGAACACTTATAATATTAAGTTTGTCTCAGCCCAAACAGACAGCAGCAAGCCATTTGAAAACAAATGGTGTGAGAGCAGTGTTGCCAACTTATTGCTTTTATCGCTATATTTAGCTACTACTCAGACCCCTCTAGCATTTTTATTACAAAAAAGTGCTTAGCGCCAAATCTAGCAACTTTTTTCTGCTACTGGAGACTTTGGCAACAACATCTAAAAGCAGC